TCTGGTCCCTGTGGCAGTGGCTCACCTCTGCGGTTCCATCGTGGAACCAGCCACCGAGCACATATAAAGGAAAGGGCAGGGCTGTGTTCCAGCCGCGCTTTGTGCACAAATGTGCGATTTGACCGTGGAAGGTGGTTTCTGACCCTGCAGCTTAACCAGCTCCTTGTTCAGGGTCAGCAACACTGTATATACAACCTCAAAAGTCATGTATGTTTTTATTTTTGTTGTTAATTATTTTGATTTTACCTCCATTTTGTCCTTTGTGATGAAATGTGTAAGCAGCACTACAGAAGGTAAAGGAAAGGGAGAGAATCCCAACATAAAGACACCGGTTTGTATATTAATTAGTTGATTCTCTTGTTCCGTAACCTTGTATACTTTTTTACTTTGAGTATACTATTGTTTATTTGAAAGAGGGATATATGCCAATGGTAATGTTAAAGAAATAACACGTGTTAAAGATGGTAAGGCCAACTTTATTCAGGACCATTGTAACAGGTTTATCAACTGGTGGAATGGAATTTTACTGTAAGGGAGAGAGATTAGGCTCAGTTCCAACTATAGCAAGGGCAAGTGAGAATTTATAGCCAAGGAGTCAGCATATAAAAAATTACCAAGAGGAGCCCTGGCTGATGTTGCTCAGTGGTTGGAGCCTTGGCCGGACCACCAAGGGGTCTTGGGTTTGATTCCTGGTTAAGGGCGTGTTCCTGGGTTGCAGATTCACCCTCAGTCCCGGTTGGGGCCCATGTGGGAGGCAACAATCAATGCATCTCTCTCACATCGATGTTTATCTCCCTCCCTCCCTTCCACTCTCTAATAATCAATGGAAAAAATATTGTCAGGTGAGGATTAACAAGTAATAATAATAACAGTAAATTACTAAGAGGAAACAGCAAGAGTAAGAGAGATTTTTGCTGAAGACACAGGGCTTGTCAGACACAAACTGGGGGAAAGTGGAGGATGAGGAACCTGGTTAGATATGGAAGGTGATCAGTCATCTGGGGCGGGAGGTTGTGGTTAAAGCGACTGAGCAGAGTTCTTGCTAAAACTGGATTTTATAAGGAAGTGCATAGATGGAAGTAGGGGCAGTTTCAGGAGACTGAAGTTTGGTCAGACAAATGTGTTTTTTTGCAGAAACAAAAAAGAAACAAGATGGAAAAGAAAAACATTGTAATTTTTTCAGTTAAGGAAATTCCACCTTATACCAGTGATTTCCAGAAATTGATCATTGCAGTGCACAGCCACTGTTTTTTAAACCTGTATTTTTTTAAAAAAAAAAATTTTATTGATTGATATTTTATAAAGAGAGGAAAGGAGAGAGAGAGAAACACCAATTTGTTGTTCCACGTATTTATGCATTCATTGGTTGGTTGACTCTTGTATGTTCCTTGACTGGGGATGGAACCCGAAGCCTTGGTGTACTGCAGGGGTGGGGAACACCTGGCCCGCGGGCCATATATGGCCCTTGAAATCATCTGGTCTGGCCCTGCCAAGGCAACTGCAGGTGGGACTCAAAATTCAATAAATCTAGGAACTTTTTTTTCATAGCTAATTTTTAAGTTGATAATTTCTTATGGCCCTTGAGTGATCTTATAAATATCCAAATGGCCCTTGGCAGAAAAAAGGTTCCCCACCCCTGGTATATTGGTACAGTGCTCTAACTGATTAAGCTACTCTGTCTCCCTGTTCATTTAACTCAACCTCCCTGGAGTTTGAAATCTAGGTACTGTTTCAGTCAACATCCTAAATCATGAATTATATGAGTTTCTTCTTGGAGTATTGCGATGACTCTGTAACCAACTGAGCTACCCAGCCAAAGCCCAGGGCACTACCACTATTAAGACTTTTTTATACATGTTTATAAAACACATTAATGTGTTTCACTACATCTGTTTTTTTATATGTGTTTAAATATATTAGTCATAGTATATAAGGGTAATATTAAATTAAGCGGGTACTTACTAGGTTCTAGCTATTGTCCTAAAATCAAACCTCAGAAAATATATGTGTAGTTTGTTCTGTGAATTTAACTATTGTATAGATGAGGGGGAAAAGGTAAAATGTATTTAAAATTTTAAATCAGCAATTAGTGGTGGAGTGAGCACACAAAATCATTCTTTCTTCTGTCTGCAGAGGCCCTGTTGTTCACGCTTGTGCTGGGATGAACATCACCACATATTTCTGTTGATTTATAGCCTGAGAGATAACTTCTGTCCCAAATCCCTTTCTATAAATAAAATTTGATTGGGAAATCCATGCCCATTCATTAAATGTTCTGCAGCTGCCTTCATGCTGCAATGGCAGAGAGAGAGTTCAGTAGTTTTGAGACGGACTATATATCCCATTAAGGCAAAATTATTTACTATCTGGCATTTATTTATACCACCCACATTTCAGTGTGGAGCCTGGGTGGCTCCATCTTCGGTACACTAATTGGGGTGCTAGGGTAGTGAGAGTGGAGCCGGTGGTCCTGTGAATTCACAAACTTCACTCTCCAGCTCCTCTCTCCACGCTTCCCAGTACTTTTGCTTTACTTTTCAATCCCCTGACCATGATTTTGACCATGTCTGGGTGAAGTGGTCAGAGAATAGAGAGAGAGAAAAATAAAAAAGAATGAGAGTTGTCCCTAGTGCCTTGGAGCTGCAACTCCTCCCAACGGAGGAGACCTCCCTTGGCTGCCACTGTCACCATGACAACAGGGTGACCTCCTGATCTCTGAAGGGGAGAGAGGTGGAAAAAAAAGGGGGAGGGGAGGGAAAGTGCTGTCCCTAAGCATTAGGGGTTTCCTTTCGAATCCTCAGACTGGACCGGGAGGGCTTCTCACTGCAGCGCTCACTGCTGGGTTTCTGGATGTGTTCAGTTCAGGCTAGGAGATGCAGGGGGGAAAGGAAAGAAAACTCTGCACCCATTATTCCCTTTTCAGCCGTTCACAGTCAAGGGTTCTTCCCCATTCCCCTGTTACTATTTACTTTCAGAGTCTTCAAACTTAGCTCCATGCAGTGGTACAGACAGGGCACGGCGTGCTTACCCCACCTTACCAGGGACGGGAACCCTGAAGGCAGCTTGTCCCACCTTTTAAATTTGGGCCAAAGGTATATTTATGTTCACAGAGCATATTCATAACTCATAAAACATCATGTGAAACCCGAGTTTTTCGTTTTGGGATTTAGGACTCTTGATTCAGTTTTAATCTAGTCATATGTAAATTTTAAAATGTTTATAATGATGCTGAGTATCACATTTTTTGTTGTTTGAGTAACTGCCGCTTTCAATATGAAATGCAGATTTTACTAAATGTTTCCCCTTTCACGTATTTCTATAATTTTCCACTGTAATAAACCTAGTGCTTATCAAGAAGGGCAGGAGGTTTTGCTGTGTCTTATGTTATATTTTATTAAATTTCCATAAATTTTACATAGCATGGCTTTCTTTAATTTTAAAACATGTTGTTTCACCCAGCAAATTTTTGAAATAAATATAATGGATGTTTTTATACCAGCTGCAAAATGGGCACTTTGCCCTTTAGGTTTTCATGGAGCTTACTTTAAAATTCAGAACTTGGTGAACATGTATTTGTGCCAGAAGGGGGATGTGTCTCCAGTGTTCAGTCAATTGGAAAAAGTAACATCTACTCGTGGGGCCCCTTATATGTGCCCTCTCACCCTCCTCCCCCAGGTGAGGGTGGCAGGGATGTGCGCTCCTCCCCGCAGGCATTTGGAGTCGTCCCTGCCGCAGGATCCCAGCGCTGTTCTCATTGTCTGGGCTGATAGCCTCCTGACTAAGGTGTTCCTGAAGGCTCTGCAGTGATACCCTGTAAATTTTGCTCTTATCACGATCATGGTTACTAGATGATCTTGATTATTATTTTTAAATTTTTAAAGAATTTACCTTTATTGTTGAAAATATTACAGATGTTCCCTTTTCCCCCCCCCGTTAACCCCCTTCACGCAGCACCTGCCCCGCCCCCCAGGCCTGCGGAACTGTTCTGTGTCCATGGGCTAGGCGTTTATGCATGTAAGTTCTTTGGTTAATCTCGTCCCGCTCCTCCGTCCCCACGTCCCTCTGAGATCCCTCAGTCTGTTTCATGTTTCTGTGTCTCTGGATCTCTTTTGTTCATCAGGTTATTGTGTTCATCAGATGCCACGTATGAGTGAGATCATGTGATACTTGTCTTTCTCTGACTGGCTTATTTTGCTTAGCATGATATGTGTTTACATTTTAATTTTTTTTTCTTTCTTATCAGTTCTCCAGACCACACAGAATGTAATGTGTGTGTTTGCTTCCATTTTGTGGAAGTTAGTTGTAATTACTTGAATTTTCGTAAAGTTGTAGAAAATGTGTAGAAAACAAAGGAGCACACAGACTATAATCAAAAACACATAGTCCAACAGGAGTCATCTTTAGACATGTTTTCTGATTTACTTATATATTATTTAAATTTTCAACAACTTGCTCATGAATATATAAATACATCTTTTACTTCCTGGATTTTAATTTTGTTTTATGAATGTTGCAAGTATCAAGTGTCGACCATGAAAATCTGCATGAATCCCGAACCTCTCTCTGTTTCCCCTTTCAGTGGTGACCGGTGTGACAGTCTTGGTGTTTCCTTTCCAAACATGTACTTTGTTTATAAAATACTTCTGTGAGTTACTTTTCTGAGGGTGTTCCTATGAGAGTGTGCACATACGTGTGTGTTTGTGTATACATATGTGAATACACATGTGACTGTAACAGTGGTAGAAACGACGATTATACACAGAACTCTAATGGCACCATGAATTCTATTTTGGGAGATTTTTTTATCACAAAAAAAATGTGCATGATGTACTATTACTTTTCCTTTAAATGAGTGAGGACATTAAGTATAAACTTCTGAGAATAACTGGTGCAGCTTCATAAAGGCCTTAACGGATAGAGTCAAACACTGAAGCATCTTTCTAAATGCGGAGACCACTTTCTTCACCATGTCGTTGGATAAATGCCTTATATCGGTTCAGTTTTTTCAGGCTCTTGGACATTTGCTGCAGTTCTCCAAGCTGCTCTTCTCACTTCGTCTTCCTCATGGAACAGCCCGGACCAGGTATCTGTTCAGGACGCAGCTCCCAGTCCCTAAGGCCCCAGGAGCTGTGGGGGATGGGAGGACTTTAGGCCTGTTGTTTGCTATTTGTTTGAGGATTTTCTCCTGTCTGTAGGACTTGGGACACAGGGGTGTTTTTTTGTTTTGTTTTTTGGGGTTTTTTTTTAGCATTTCTAAGGCAAACTTTATTAGTAGTATTTTAACTGCATAGATCAAAACACAAGTTTATAAACTCTCTCCCCATTCTTTTATTTTTTTTTCAATTACAGTTTACATTCAGAATTGGACACAGGGTCTTCACACCCACAGCAGAGTCCTTGCTCACGGAAAAGAGTTGGATTTCCGGATCTTTACCGGGTGTGTATCTTTCACACAGATTCTGAATATTGCACTGATCTATGGTCAATTCAGTCATACTTTGTCATTGTTTTAGTCTCAAGTTAAAACAAAACACCATGAACTCTCGAATCACAGATCTCTGAACCCTAGAATATTTCATCAATGATGCAAATGGTCAACAGGAAAATGCAGTGGGAGAGACAGAGTGTTTAATTTCTTCTTGGTTAAATCCAATAACCAGGAGGCCCCACTAAGCTCTAAATAATTCATCGTGACTGGAGCAGACTACAGGTTCCATAGATATTAATTGTTGATTTCCCCCTGACCTGGTATTTTTCTATCTAGAGTAAGAGTGGGCTGAGAAAGTGAAAAGCCACACACAGAGAGGGCCTATACTATTTTTGTTCATCATCAAGCTAGTTATTGCTAAACACACGTATGCTCCTCAAATTGCAATGGTTATGTCCCCATAAAACCATAAATCTTCAAGGGCACTGATGAGGAAAGGCCATGTGAGCACACAGTAAGAAGGCAGCTGTCTTCACGCCAGGAAGAGGGTCCTCCCCAGCAACCACATCTGCTGGCACCTTGATCTTGGACTTACCATAAGAAAAATGTCTGTTGTTTAAGTCACCCAGTCTATGTATTGTGTCAGACTATACCACACCGCTAAGAACCATGTGTGAGAGCGAAAAAACAAACAGAAAAAAACAACAGTGCTGCCACATGAGCCTCAGCATAAAAAGTCCAGGCACTGTGGGAATATTAACTGTTACATAAAGTCTGCCTAGGTTTGAAATCGTCGGATGCCATATTCATGAGTTCTGACTTTATTAACGATTCTTCAGCTTTATTGGAGGTGTCTGTCTTAGGAATGCTGTGCATATAATTGTCAAGCCTGGGTCTCAGGTACTAAATCAGTGTGGGCCTTACGGATAGAGTCTGTGAAAGCAAAGGAGAATTAGGAGCAAAGCCAGGACGTCCTTCCCATCAGAAGTGGCCACAGGCTTTCAGTTGGCCACCTGAGCATCCCTGGGAAGCTCTCAGAGTTAGACCGTAGAGGGACCTGCAAATTCATGTTCTAGTCTCCTCTGCACATCCTGTGCTCTTTCGTCTCTGAAGCTGTTGGTGCTGTAATCACTGAATTTGAATTTTTACTCTCTTCTATGGAATGAATGGTCAAGTATTAAATACAGAAGTTTATTTCTTCCAGGACCATCATTTCTAATTATTTGCCAAAAAAAAGGTATTTTTAAAATTAAGCCACACTAGATTGAGATTTTAACTAAAATTTATTAAGGTAAACCGGAAAGAAAACTTACCACCTAAAATTTGCATGGTTGTCTACTTGTAATATTTTAGCAGACATGTTTTTTAATGACTTAAAATTTTCTGCTTTATTGAGATATAATTGATATATAACATTATGTAAGTTTAAGGTGTACACTGTGTTAATTTAATGCACTTACGTATTTCAAAATGACTACCACCTTACTGTCAACTAATACCTCAGTCATGTCACGTAATTACTATTTCACTTGTGTGTAAGATCTACTCACTTAGCAGCTTTTAAGTATATAATACAGTATTGTTATCTATAATCACCATGCTGTACATTAGATCCCCAAAACATACTCATCTTATAAGTAGAAGTTTGTGCTCTTTAACCCACATCTCCCTATTTTCCCAGCCCCCAGCAAATACCACCTTACTGTCTGTTTCTGAGTTCCAGTTTCTTAGATTACATATACAAATAAGATTATACAGTATTTGTTGTTATCTGTCAGACTTATTTCACTTAGCATAACGCTGTCAACTTTTGCAAATGGCAGGATTCCCTCCTTTTTATGGCTGAATAATGTTTCATTGTATGCTTGTTTTTTGTTTTGTTTTTAAATATATCTTTATTGATTTCAGAGAGAGGAAGGGAGAAGGAGAGAGAGAGATAGAAACGTCAATGATGAGAGAGTCGTGGATCGAGCCCGCAACCCGGGCATGTGCCCTGAGCGGGAATCGAACCCCGGTCTCCTGGATCCTAGGTCGACGCTCAACCGCTGAGCCACGCCCAGCCGGGCTGTATGCTTGTTTATTACCACATCTTCTTTATCCATCCACCTGTGGTTATGCACTATAGAATTGTAATAATATTAATGACTGCTAGTATTTATCAGGAATGTAGACTATCCTAGGTACCGATGTTAAATGTTTCCCACCGTTGAATTAATACTGATGACCAGCATATGCATTGTGCAGTATGTTAAGTCTGCAGAGAGGTAAGGAGGACTCAGTTGCAAAGTCACAGAAGCAGGAAGCGCTAAGGTCATGACATTGAGCCCATGCTTCCTCTGCAGAGACCGCGCTCCTCACCACTGTGCTGGGACCCCCCCCGGGAACTTCTGAAGCTCCTAATGGTTTGTCGTGGACAAAAGTTTTCCTAGTGTTTCACTGTATCTATGGGCCACAGCGGTTTCCCAGTTTACTATTGTTTTGGTATTTCAATATTTAGTTTTCACTTGGTTGTCATTGTTGTTTGCTAGGAGACACGCTGTTGGAATAAATGTCCCTAGACATACAAGTAAACCCACGTACACATTTTTGTTAGAGAGACTCCTAGAATGAGGGGTTCCTTTAGAATACTTTCCTTTCTTTTTTTTTAATATATCTTTATTGATTTCAGAGAGAGGAAAGGAGAGGGGGAGAGAGAGGTAGAAACATCAATGATGAGAGAGTCATTGATCGGCTGGAGCCCGCAACCCGGGCATGTGCCCTGACCGGGAATCGAAGCCCGATCGCCTGGATCCTAGGTCGATGCTCAGCCACCGAGCCACGCCCAGCCGGGCTAGAATACTTTTCAATTCTGCCCAGTTGCCTTCTGCATCTTCGTAGTGTCGTAAGATGGCACAATTATTTTTTACTCACTTTTCTAGATAGACTCAGATTCATTTCCATATTTATAAAGTATGCAGCCCCTGATATAGAATTTTTGAATAATTTAACCATTTTGTTCTTACTGGCTATTTCACTACTCTCTGTTTCTCTTACCTGAATGTCTCTCACGTCTCTGCAGCACTGGGTCAGCCCTTCACTCGATCCTCAGGGGACAAGTAACCGGAGGAGGTTGCAGAGGCTGAGGAGAGGAGACAATGTTGGGGAAGGACGCCGTGGCTGCATCTCGTGAGTTGTTGTTTTAGACTGTTGTCCAGGTGTTCTGTGGACATGTTTTAAGTAGGAAGGTATAAAACAATATCTTACTATAGTTGCATATGGGAGCAATGAGTTTGTTAGTTACATGCATGAGAAAATCCTAGGATGAGCAGGTGAGGACCCTCTGAACTTTAGATGTCCTCATGGACGCAACACCCATCTCCTGTCCATTTCTGCACCCTAGTGGGTAGCTTTCCTCCTCTTCCTCCAATTCTGGAGGATGCCTTGAAGGAAAATGGGATTCCCATCAAATGCCCACATAGGTGGCAGATGGTCAGACAAGGCTATAGCACACATCGCTGTGCCCGACAGTTTGTGAGAATGGCTCTGAACAGGGTTGGGCACCAACAATGAGCTCAGTGAGTAGGAGCGATGATACTAATTATATCACACATTTATTTTATTTTCTCATCGTCAAAAATCCCAATACTACGTTAATTTTCCACATGTTGGAGATGAGCTGAGACTATATGAGGCCACATCTCTTGTTTGGGACCCTGCCCTCAGTGGCAGGATGGCAATGTGAAGGCACGCAGCAGAGACCATCGAGCTTGCTGTTCAGCATTAAGTTCATTGTCATCCCAGAACACGTGGCATGATTATGGGCCCTTTATTATTATTATTTTTTTATTATTTTTTTAATCTTCACCTGAGGATTTTTTTTTGTATTGCTTTTCAGAGAGAGAGGAAGGAGAGAGAGGAACATCGATGTGAGATCGATTGGTTGCTTCTGGCATGCGGGGACTGAGCTTGCAACCGAGGTACGTGCCCTTGGCCGGAATCAAACCCGGGACCCTTTAGTCCAGAGGCTGATGCTCTAACCACTGAGCCACACCTGCCAGGGCAGTTACTGTTCCTTTAAAAGCCCTTTCACTGCCTCAGCTTCTCCTTTGCTCCTCTATGATCTTCCCATTTTATAGCAATGCATTCCGTGGACACACTCTTATGGAGAGACTGTGTACCTGTTACAGGTCCGTGTCACATTCCGTTGGACACAGGACTGGGTGTTTCCTTCGTTAGACTAGAAGACGACAGACACAAGCAGCTCGAAAGCTCTTGCAGGCCTGCTTAGAGTCCCGGCGGGTGGGGGCCCGAGGCATGGAGGGGCCTGCCCCCAGTGCCTGCTCTCACTGTGGCATTAGGTGGCACAGGGCATCTCTTGCAAGTTTATGTCCAAATTGTGTTTTCATGGGGGTTCAAAATGAATCCTAATTTTTACTGAGATGTCAGTGAAGCTGTACAGGGTGTTGATTTAATACGTTTGTTTACTGCCACCATAGTTAGCTAACACCTCCATTGTATCGCATGTTCACCATTTCTTCCTGGTGGTGGGAGCATTTAAAATCTGGTTTCTTAGCAACTTCGAAGGGTACAACTCAGTATTGTTAACTGTAATCACTATGCTGTGTGTGATACACTCGGAAATTATTCATCTTTGTCTGCGTGTCTGTACCTTGTGAGCAACATCCCCTCATCTCCCAACTCCCGGCTCCTGATAACCACGACTCTATTCTCTGTTTCTACAAGCTTGGCTTTGTTTAGATTCCACACACATGCGCTGTCCTAGAGTATTTGTCATTCTCTCTCCGACTTGCCTCTGAACAGACACCTGCTCTGAGAGGCCGTGATCACCAGGGAAGAATTCATGTCCCACCGGCCCACACGCCTGGAGACAGCAGGCAGCGGGCGCCCTGCAGTACAGCCGAGCGCAGGTGATTTCTTGTTTTGATCGCAGCTTTATCACCATTTTCTCTAACAGCCTGGAACAGTTTTGATATCAGATATATATTTTTGAATGACTAGATATAGAACAAGTTTTATAAAATGTGGACAGCACTGGCATGGTAGCTGAGGGTCAATTATCAGTCACGAGGGGTTCTGGGCACGAGGGGAGCAAAGGGGGCAGGGAGGGCACCCGGTGTGCGCGGCAGGGCCCGGGAGCGCTCCTGCCGGCCCCCGACCCCCACCCCATCCCGCCGGCGCGCGGGCCTCAGTGGCTTTGCTCCTGCAGGTGGGACAGAGGCACTGACCACGCTGAGCGGCCGCTCACAGCGCCACCAGGCACCTGCAGGCGGGGCCGGGCGGCAGGAACGGGAGGTGGCCGGCGGGCC